TAAACCTACATCAACAATATAATATCAATTCCCTCTCAATAATTATAATATACAACTTTTATTAATTTATATTACCTTTAACATAAACCTACACCAACAATATAATATCAATTCCCTCTCAATAATTATAATATACAACTTCTATTAATTTATATTACCTTTAACATAAACCTACATCAACAATATAATATCAATTCCCTCTCAATAATTATAATATACAACTTTTATTAATTTATATTACCTTTAACATAACCTACACCAACAATATAATATCAATTCCCTCTCAATAATTATAATATACAACTCTTCGTTACAGTTTATAAATTAAGAAAATGCATTTCCCCGATAGTTACATTCTTATTAATAATTACCTTCTGAACTAGTTAGCTGAAATTTTTCCTACATTTCCATTATAAAATTCAGATAACCATCGATTACACACAAACACAAAACGTCGACCTGCAGATGGTACATCTATAGTAATTGTTTCTACATACCACTCAGGATCTATACCAGAGTTGTCATGTCCTATCTTAATTGTTTCAATCTAAAATCAGAAATCAACATGCTAATAGTACTAATAGTGTGTTTCAGAGAAACGTTCAAGTGACAGGCATTGTTGGACAACAGTCGATAATTTATCTTTCTAACATATTTCAGATATGCTGAATAAAAAAACGGTTCAAAACCAAATTCTGGGATCTTCCATATCTATATAAACTCAAATTTTACTACTTTTCATATCTAATATTATTCTTTAGAAATGTGTTTTGTTTCCAAGATTAACTACACTTTACTCCTATGGAAAGTTAAAGTCAAAATCAACGGTTGAAGGTGGTTATGATCTACATTAGCACACAAATTTACCCACAGAGGGTCAAATATCGGACCTTTACGATATACATGTACATACAATACATTAAGAAAGACAGGGCCAAGATATGATAAAAGAAAAACCTGTTGCAAATTTTGTAGAACAAACTTTATGTTCAGTCTTTATTTCTATGGTTATCTAATTTCCTTACCTGTCCAATGACCGGGGCTGTAAGTATAAAAGTATCAGTGTAGTTTCGTTGAAACGGATCAGAATGATTAAGTGATTGGTCTAGTTGTAAAGGACCTGTGGATCCACGACTACCATAAATTATCAGAGTAATATTTGCAGCTGTTTCTGCTCCAGGTTCATCTCCTGTTTTTACTTCTACTTGATACGAGATATCTGAAAAATCAGTCAATAATTTTTTCATTAGAAACACTCTAAGTTTGGTAGTATTCATCTTCACAATGATCAAGATATTACATCTTCATTATCTACAATGATCAAGATATTACATCTTCATCTTCTACAACGATCAAGATATTACATCTTCACCAGTAGTTTTTATTAATTAATTAGTTTGTTTCAAAGATATGTCTGTGATGTCCTCAATGTCAGTCTAAATAGACTTTAATAATTACCTTCTCCACTGGTAGGATAAAATTCTGTTACAGTAGCTCCATCAGCGTCTGATACAGATAACCATCGATGACACAGAAACACATAGCGTCTACCTTCAGATGGTATATCAATAGTAATTGTTTCCACATACCACCCAGGACCTATCCCTGAGTTGTCATGTCCTATCTTAATTTTTTCAATCTAAAATCAGAAAATCAACATACCAATAGTAATAGTAATGTAAATAATGTGAGATATTAACAATGAGTGTTTCCTTGTCAACATTCAAAACAACATCAATCAACTAGAACTAGAACTAAAAGGTTTAATTGATAGTCTAGTTATAAGGGTAGAAATTTCAAACATGAATTGTATTCTGTCAAAATGAAATATGAAACAAAATAAAAAAAAGCAACATTTTTTTAGAAATCCAAAAAAATGTAGGTGTAATTATTTGTAACTAAAACGGATATAAATTATAGTCAAATAGTTACAGACTTGTGGGTTTTTCAGAGAAACGTTCAAGTGAAGGGCATTTTAGGTAACAGTCGGTAATCTATCTTTCTAACATATTATTCTGAATCCTAAAAAAATGAATTTGAATTTGTTCAAAACCAAATTCTGGGTTCTTTACTTCCAAATTTTCATATCTATATAAACTAAAATTATAATACTTTTTATATTTAATATAATGCTTTGTAAATGTTTTTGGTTTCCAAGATTAACCACACTCGGACATTTACGATTAAAATAAACACCGAGACAAACAGTGTTAAGATAAGATAAAAGCAATACAAATGAAACTCTGTTGCAAATTTTGTAGAAAATACTTTATGTTAAGTCTTTATTTCTATGGTTATCTAATTTCCTTACCTGTCCAATGACTGGAGCTGTAAGTATAAAAGTATCAATGTAGTTTCGATGAAACGGATCAGAATGATTAAGAGATTGGTCTAGTTGTAAAGGACCTGTGTCTCCAAGACTACCATAAATTCTCAGAGTAACTTTGGCGTCGGTACTTCCGTGATCTACATCTCCTGTTTTTACTTTTACTTGAGAGGAGATATCTGAAAAATCAGTCAACAATTTCATATATGTTTTCATTAGAAACTTTGGTACTATTCATCTTCTACAATGATCAAGATATTAAATCTTCATCTTCTACAATGATCAAGATATTACATCTTTATTTTCACAATGATCAAGATATTACATCTTCATCTTCTACAATGATCAAGATATTACATCTTTATCTTCACAATGATCAAGATATTACATCTTCAAATTCTACAATGATCAAGATATTACATCTTCATCTTCACAATGATCAAGATATTACTTCTTTATCTTCTACAATGATCAAGATATTACATCTTTATTTTCACAATGATCAAGATATTACATCTTCATCTTCTACAATGATCAAGATATTACATCTTCATCTTTACAATGATCAAGATATTACATCTTCATCTTTACAATGATCAAGATATTACATCTTCTTCTTCTACAATGATCAAGATATTACATCTTCATCTTCACAATGATCAAGATATTACATCTTCATCTTCTACAAAGATCAAGATATTACTTCTTCATCTTCTACAATGATCAAAATATTACATCTTCATCTTTACAATGATCAAGATATTACATCTTCATCTTCTACACTGATCAAGATATTACATCTTCATCTTCTACACTGATCAAGATATTACATCTTCATCTTCTACAATGATCAAGGTATTACATTTTCATCTTCTACAATGATTAATATATTACATCTTCATCTTCTACAATGATCAAGATATTACATCTTTATCTTCACAATGATAAAGATATTACATCTTCATCTTCTACAAAGATCAAGATATTACATGTTTCTTCTTCACAATGACCAAGATATAACATCTCCAACTTCTACGATGATCAAGATATTACATCTTCATCTTCTACAATGGTCAAGATATTACATCTTCATCTTCTACACTGATCAAGATATTACATCTTTATCATCACAATGATCAAGATATTACATCTTCATCTTCTACAATGTCTTTATCTTCTACAATGATCAAGATATTACATCTTCATCTTCTACAATGTCTTTATCTTCTACAATGATCAAGATATTACATCTTCATCTTTACAATGATCAAGATATAACATCTTCATCTTTACAATGCTCAAGATATTACATCTTCATCTTCTACAATGATCAAGATATTACATCTTCATCTTCTACACTGGTCAAGATATTATATCTTCATCTTCTACAATGATCAAGATATTACATCTTCATCTTCTACAATGATCAAGATATTACATCTTCATCTTCTACACTGGTCAAGATATTATATCTTCATCTTCTACAATGATCAAGATATTACATCTTCATCTTTACAATGGTCAAGATATTACATCGTCATCTTCTACAATGATCAAGATATAACATCTTCATCTTTACAATGATCAAGATATTACATCTTTATCTTCACAATGATCAAGATATAACATCTTCATCATCACAATGACCAAGATATAACATCTTCATCTTCTACAATGATCAAGATATTACATCTTCATCTTTACAATGATCAAGATATCACATCGTCATCTTCTAAAATGATCAAGATATAACATCTTCATCTTTACAATGATCAAGATATTACATCTTCATCTTTACAATGATCAAGATATACATCTTTATCTTTACAATGATCAAGATATTACATCTTCATCTTCTACAATGATCAAGATATAACATCTTCATCATCACAATGACCAAGATATAACATCTTCATCTTCTACAATGATCAAGATATAACATCTTCATCTTCTACAAAGATCAAGATATTACATCTTCATCTTCTACAATGATCAAGATATTACATCGTCATCTTCTACAATGATCAAGATATAACATCTTCATCATCACAATGATCAAGATATAACATCTTCATCATCACAATGATCAAGATATTACATCTTAATCTTTACAATGCTCAAGATATTACATCTTCATCTTCTACAATGATCAAGATATTACATCTTCATCTTTACAATGGTCAAGATATAACATCTTCATCTTCTACAATGATCAAGATATTACATCTTCATCTTTACAATGGTCAAGATATTACATCTTCATCTTTACAATGATAAAAATATTACATCTTCATTTTCTACAATGATCAAGATATTACATCTTCATCTTTATCTTCACAATCGGCCACCTTACATATCGCAGTCAACTTGGTACTGTTGGGTATCGTTATTATCCTTATGGTAATTCTTTTTTATTGTACCAAGATACAACGATATGTGTTCGTATCACAGGTTAATTACTTTGTAAATTAGGTCATGTATTCGTGTAAACAGTTCATCATGGTATTCTTTGAAGTTGACAACTCAGTTAAAAGTGAAGGTAAATTCTCCCAAAAACATAATTTTGATAAAACGGATCTCATTATAAAGGCTCTATGAGGAATTTAATATTTTTGAGAAAACTGGAATCTTTTACTCGTGTTTATGATGAATGAAATTGATGAAAATTGTTGCCGGATTAGATATTCCCTGGTCGTGGCAATTCATTTTACTGATGCCATATTACATAATATCCTTTATATATTACATCACGACTTCGCTTTGTTCTCTGGCCTTTGCACGAACCCAATAGCGACAGCAAGAACTGCGTGAACTCTGGTTTGCATGAGAGAGGTTGCTGCAGACCTGGGGCCTGTCTTATGATGGTTCCTACATTGATTAGCTTTATATATTCTCCGAGCATCAGTCTTATACAATTTAAAAGGCCGAATATTGGGTGTACTTGCCCTATGCTCACGAAGCCGTTCTAGTTTCAGCACCGAGCATCGGTCTGATACAATTTAAAAGGCTTATGCTCAATTTTCATCATAAAAAAGTAGTAAATTATGGATGAAAAGATTTCTAAAATTTACTTTGTATTTCTATGTATCCAGGCTACTTGATAAACCTGATTAGCTTTCAACGTGGTGATTAAAATAGTGACTGTACTTCGCCTATGAACACGAAACAGTTCTAGTTTCAGCACCTCCGTTGAAGATTAGGATACGTGTTCATTAACAGTGTTCTACTAATGCTAGATGAAGTTATGGAGAAAGGTAGAACGGTGTAAATAGTTTTTAATATCAAACTTTACCTTCGGGTAAAAACGTAACCATACCAACATCTTCTATTGCTGAATGTGGAAACTGATTATAAACATAGCATATCTGACGCCCTCTATGATACGCAAAACCAAAACATACGTCATCGGCTAAACAAGATTGTGCACATCGTAACCGTCCAGGTAAAACTCTATAATCATAATATCCTGAAAACAGTTGGTCTTTTGAGAAAGAGAAATAAGTTTTAGTGATTATCTCAAAAGAATCACCAATTACAAATATAAACATACATCTCAACAATATCGACAACATTTTCCTCGGTTTGACTTGACGATACGAAACAATTGATTCTTAAGATTATGACAAGACTTTTACTTTCAACTGGTCTGCGTCGAAAAGAAACACGCCGAGTTTAAATACTGCTCAAATACTGACTATGCATCAATTATAGAAATATTTTAAAGTGGTCGGTTTTAAATAAAAGTACATAATATTGATTGTTGTACATTGTTATTAATTATTGTTTTAACTGACTTCGAGTGTTTAAAAATTGGTCAGAAAACGAAGTTCTTACGAAACCACCAAACCAAACAGTCAAAGTGGACCTGTCTAACATTCAACCAATGGGGACAATACAATGAATGATATGAAGAAAAATGAACAAAGTGTTTTAGTAGAAAAAAAATGATTTTAGTCTTCGTTGTAATTTTTATTTCAAAAAGGATTGGTGTGCTCAAGTGTAGACTTATAATATTTTCAAGAGGCTGAATTAGCAATTTACTAAACAAGTCAATTAGATTGCTCCAGAATGGTTTTTCTTAAGTTTCTCAAGTCTTCTTTGCTTTTTTGTTTATTGGTGGATAAAAAATCTTAAAACTTCTACATGTACAATATAGTTTCCAGTTGCAGTTTTCACAGTAATTCGAATATTCTGCGCAAAAAATGAGAAAAAGTGTGTAAAAAAAGGACATTTATAAATCTGTAAAATGCACAAAATATGGGAAATTGACACGTTATATCCAATGTAAATATTGTAGTCTGTTCCCTTTATATATCCAATGTAAAAATTGTAGTATGTTCCCTTTATATATCCAATGTAAAAATTGTAGTATGTTCCCTTTATATATCCAATGTAAATATTGTAGTATGTTCCCTTTATATATCCAATGTAAAAATTGTGGTATGTTCCCTTTATATATCCAATGTAAATATTGTAGTCTGTTCCATTTTTTATATCCAATGTAAAAATTGTAGTATGTTCCCTTTATATATCCAATGTAAAAATTGTAGTCTGTTCCATTTTTTATATCCAATGTAAAAATTGTAGTCTGTTCCATTTTTATATCCAATGTAAAAATTGTAGTCTGTTCCATTTTTATATCATATGCAAATATTGTAGTCTGTTCCATTTTTTTTACATCGAATGTAAACATTGTAGTCTTCCCCCCCCCCCCCTCTTTTTTTTATATCGAATTTAAATATTATAGTCTGTCCCTTTTTTTTAAATCGAATGTAAACATTGTAGTCTGTCTCCTTTATATATCCCATGCAAATATTGTAGTCTGTCTCTTTTTTTTATATCGAATGTAAATTTTGTAGTCTGTCCTCTTTATATATGGAATGTAAATATTGTAGTCTGTCCCCTTGATACATCGAATGTAAATATTGTAGTCGTTCTCCTTTATATATATATGGAATGTAAATATTGTAGTCTGTTCTCTTTATATATGGAATGTAAATATTGTAGTCTGTCCTCTTTATATATGGAATGTAAATATTGTAGTTTGTCTCCTTTATATATGGAATGTAAATTTTGTAGTATGTCACTATTCACTATATTATGATAGTGTGATGGTACAGAAACTAATCCGTTATAGACGTCCCAATATTATCAGAAGATTACTAAATTAATCCACTTATCTGTTATTATCTTATTCAACTGTCAGCTAGACATCTCATTTTAATTCGCTTTAATCTTTTTATGTTTTAATTGTCGATTGTTCTACTTAATCTTTTATATGTTATAATTATCAATTGTTAATTAATCAATGTCAATGCACAAACTTTAATATAAATACGGAATGATATGATATCAGGGGCATCTTGGATTGATCAGAGCACCTGTACAGGCGCACAACACCGATGTATTTGTGAATATTGTAACTAGTTATTATTAAACAGTTTTAAGTTCTTTTTCATAGTTTTAGTATAAATTCTCACTACTACAATATGATGACCATGAAAATTTTGAGCTACTCAAATTGAAAGTAGACTACTACCGGTTATACTCATTCGCCCCAGCTTGGCAGTTCACAAAACGACTATTTTTAGAATTAGCCTTCCGCCTTTAGGCCTCTCTACATCTCACCAAATCTTAAAGATAATGCAATTTCAGACATCAAATTCCAAATCTAGACAAAAAATTACCCAAAAATAGGCATGCAAAAACCCCAAAAGGGAGAGAGAAAGAAGATTTCTAAAAATAGCCTGGACTACATTCAATCATTTTCATAAAATGAGTGAGTCCTATATGGTAGTGTATGATGAAGAGTTCTCTCCCTTTATACAGAAAATTCATTTTTTGCATAAAAGAAATATTGTCTACTTTCTATTCCAAAATAAAAAGTTTCCCCCCTTTATACAGAAAATGATGCAATCTGTAAATATTTGGCTACCTATATAAAGATACATTTTGTAGTGTTTAAAAGAGTAGTCTTCTAAAATTAATTGTAGTGAATTCAAAAACACTTATTCTGAAAGGGTTCATAAATTTTTATTAAGGTAGAATTGTCTTGCCACTAATGGCCTAATAAATAAATCAGAACGCATCACCAAGAGGTTAGTAAAGTTTAATCAACTCAAAACAAACATAGGTCGACCAAGTGATGAAATATCAAATGAAGCTTGAACATCGAACATTAAAACACCAGATAATAAAGCATACTATGGTAAATAACAATGGAAAATATTATTAACCAATCCTTTATAACTCTAGAGATTCTAAATTTGTATGTGTTTGTCTGTGGTTCTTGCATTTCCACTAATAATAGGCCTTTTATGACGTCATTATATCAAAGGTCCTTATATATTAATAACAGCTTTGCAATAGTGACATCATAAAATTTCAGTAGAATTGTAAGATATACAGACGTCTCGATTGGGGTTAGGATCTGTCTGAAAAGGGGAATGGTGCAAATTGACACTATCAATACATATAAATGTTTTCAAAACCTCTTTACATCAATGGTACTTTCAATGAAAACAACCAAGTTGTGACGTGCAAGTCAATGTATAAGTCGCAGTTCTTAATAGCTTAACTTGGTGAAGATGAAGTTTGGTTTAGTTTTACATGGTGAAGATGTAGTTTGTTATAGCTTGACATTGTGAAGATGGGCGTGGAACTGAGTTTCATCTTTGTACATGAAAAGCCATATATATATATAAGTTAACATCTGACTAAAGAATATAAAATAAAGGAATTAACGCAGACACTAATGACATATTGCACAATCAACAATTAAGTTCCTTGGATTATATTTAGATCTTCTTATATTTCCTGGTACAAGAAACTCCATTTCCACTCATAATCTGAAATATAATTGGGTCGTTTATTACAATAACTAGAAACAAAACAATGTGTATATTGATTTCACTTGTTGAATCACGTACTCTGTTTGACTCGATTATGTTGTCCGAACGTTTAAACCGGCTTTAATTTTACTAACGTATTGATATTAATATAAGACCAGTTCAGGAGGAAAAAAAACCTACTCAAAACAAAACAGATCTGTTATTGGTACAAAACATTAAGTCTTGACCTAAGTTTCAAATAAATGTCGCATAATGTACATTAATATTTCAAGATAAAAATTGATCTGACTGGTTCAGAACGATGGGGCATCAGAATTTACTCAGTTTGAAGCATTTTCAATAATTTGATATTCAATATGCACTAACGCGAAGGTGGCATTAAAGTTTAAGCATTTTCATTCATCTAAAAGTAATGAAAAATGTACTTACGGCTACTAATTCACCTCCGGACACAGAACGTTCGTTTCGGGATTCAAATCCGTCTCCTTTTTGAACCTCAACAAGTTTATCACCCTCTAATGTAAACGTGACCTGAAAGGAAAAATAATTTTAACTTGATTCCACAAAGGTTAATTTATTTTTAAAACATAACATATTTCAGCTATCCATAAGACTTTTCAGAGCAAAACGAACCAATGGAAGTGGTATTCCAGGCTTTATTACATAAAGCTAAGACTAATAGATACACAGGGAAATATCAAGAATAATTCATTCATAACTTTGGATTTGAATCAAACATTTAACCATAATTTGACTTTTTTTACTTTTACTCATGCTAAAGGAAATGGAGCGTTCGTGTCCTTGTCTGCACATGGCCAGGCTAATAAAAGACAACAAGTCCACGAACGAAAGGAAATCGTCAAACTGAGACATGAGAATAAACAGAATTAATTTCACGTTCCAGGTAGCATTTTGTGCACAGTCTGTAGCATTCTGAACCACGGTATATTGTTCCTATGTTCTAAAGAAACTGTCTCGTCCTATTCGGGAATCAGGTAACAGATTTGCGAATAAATTTTAACATACCTTTACTGGTCGACCATCTAATGTCGCGGTAGAAAATTCTTCGCCTAGATTAAATTTTATTTCTTTTTCTCCCATAATAGTAGTAGTCTTGATCGACCAGGAATTACCAGAACCACTTATTTCATGTGTAAGTTTAGAATTGGCATCCAGTGCTTTTGTTGCCTTTTCTATATTTTCAGGTGTAACTCCTGTAATTAGAATGAGAAAAGGTGATTTAAAGCAGATTGACACGGAGTTTGGTATGAAGGCTAATTGAGTTTTCAAACAATTCTGAAATTCAACTATACTGAAAGTTAAACAAAACGTCATGTAAAGGTATCATAGTAGTGGGGGTAAGGGGTGGTGACGAGGAGGATTGGTCAAAAATGGTTGTATTTATTTACTTAATATAATTCCAAATAAAGAATTATTTTTAAACGATTATGCCCAAAAATATATGACAGAATGCACCAAATCAATTTTCCAAAAATGTTCTTCGAAGAGAACCTTCTCAGACGCTCCATGGGACGTTTACAACTACAACTTGTAGGCCTACTGCATTTTGAATTCAACATTTGTTCCCCCGTTCCCCGTGACGTTTCTTTTAACAAACCTACATTATGCCATTCGCAATCACACTGGCACTATTCTGCTAATATTCGATTTTGTCCTGACGTATACTTCGTCCTGTCGATCCATTTGATGTTTATCTCCGTTGAGGGAAAAAATCAAAGATGACGTAGGGAGCAGGTGCGTGAATCGTTGAATGTACGAATTGCTGTATTTTGGAATGAGTTTGTATATTGATTAGAACTTTCACAATTGCATTTAGATTTAGGGTTTGACCAAATATCATATTTTTAGTTCTTTTTTGTTCTCTTCTATAGTTTGGAACCGAAACTCATTATTTGAGTCATCAATCCATTCTCATATATTCACTTCTTGAATGCGAGAAAACAGCAATCAAAAATATGAATAAATTACAGAAAAATCACAATAGATGAAACATGTTGAAGAGATTAATATAAAACATAGAGAGAGAGAGATTGGTGAATAATATGAATATTGAGAGAGTGGAGAAATCAATCAGCCTGTCTCGAGGGATGAATAAATACAATCCAATATGTTATGATGATACATGATACACCTGATAAATACAATGTAAGCTGAAGTTATGATTTATGGCTGGAAATTAGGATAGAAACTAGGAATTCAGATATATAATAAGCATTGGATGACCTGACTGAAATACAGATGCCTTGTCAGCTGAGGTACATCACAATATGACTATTAATCAACTCGCTCTATTGGGTACTACATAGAAATATTTAGAAGATCGGAAAAATTCTTCCTCTTTCTCTAACCTACATTAATTAACGTAACTGGGAGATTCTCGTTTTTTTCAGAAATTGTTTTTTGCTTAAATTTATGAATAAAAGTCAATATAAGCAAGACAATTCCGTTAATCAAAAATCTCGATCAAGGTATGTCAAAATCGAGAGTAAAAAGTTAAAAAGAGAAGTACCATCGGGTGTTTCGAAAAGAGTCAGTATGGTCTGATTTGAGCGCGACATAAAAACTATAAATGAGCCCCAACAATTTATCTGAAAGTCTTAACTAAACAAATCCTGCCGTAAACATTTTGACGCAAAAACGTAACGTTTTTAACTCCGTTTCCCTTTAGGTATCCGAAGAAAACTACTGTACGGATTTAAGCAAAAATAAACGCCAAATTATAGAGCAATATGTCTAAAGGTTTTATCTAAATATATCAATTATAGTATCTTCGTTTTTTATTAACCCTTTTAAAACAAATTCAGCTTGGTCAAGTAGATACATAGATATAAAATAATTTACGTATATAATTGACGATGTTTTTGACAATAAAAATGTTGCATACAGCCCATGAAAGGAACATTCAAAAATACACTTCAAATATCAAAAAAGATGAAAACTATCACGCCACCCTTTCGCCATTTAAAGACAATAATAGCAACTCCAATATATGACTAATGACATTCCTTCAACCTCATTTATTCTAGCCAATACTAACTTCATGTAATTAGAGTTTATATGGAAGACAATCAGTAGAAGTAGTAAACCAATGGTAATCATACGGAATGTTTAAGACAAAAGTTCAAAGCTAAGCTGAACTATCTTAATAGTGAGGTTACATTGTCCGTATACAGATAAGAACTGTAAAAATAGCATAAATTCTGTCGATATTCTATGATTTATGATGGACAATAAATTGATAAGGAACTAAAACTACTTGAATCGGTTCTGTTGTCACTAGAATTATTGATATTGAAAATGATTTGATTTCAAGATGTTGATGAAATAAATTGTCGTCTAAGCTACGTCTAAGTTACTGTGTAATATACTTGCGTCGGGCCTGTTCATACTTGTTTAAATACTAAGATTAGACAGAAGATCTGTGAGATATTGGTATGCATGTTAATCTAAATAATACCATGTTTTAAACATCTGTAGTCTATTCAGAAGTTATATTTTATAAATATTCAGACTGCTGACATACCAAACTATGTAATGATAACAGGACTGAGTTTCTGACACTAAATTATAGAGAGAAATATAAAAAATATCCTGAACCTCCAGCCAACGTCTTTCCGATAAACCTGTCGTGTAAATGTACGGTTGTTTGATGTATTTTTTATTTCATTCGACCTTGAATTTGATTCAAGTCCAAAGACCTTTTTTAATTTGACCTACTCAAATAGTACTGTGGTGGGTGTCGCTATCGAAACAGGATGCTTACTATTCAGGTACACCTGCTGTCATTCTATCACTGAGTAGATCAACTAGACAGCCTTAAGGAGACGACTAGTATTGTTTATGTGTATATCTATCATAAACAAGAGTTGCTGTAAAATATCATTAAAATTTGAGGTTGAATTAAGCACTATATGGCTAGTATACTATATACGATACCCGCTGTGATAACATAATTAAGATAATACAGTAGCGTAATAAACATGGAGTAATTTCTTCTCTAATACCTTCAGGTATGCCCAACATCTAAGAGAATCGTACCATTCTCATCCCCCGATAACTATCGTTTTATATCTATTTACAGACACCCTGCCGTCTATGACTAGATCATATACTAATATACATTAATTCCATCTAATGAGAAGAAATCTCTCAGATACCAGTCGACAAGGGCGTAGAGAGTCAAGTGTTAATAGAGAACAAGTTGATTAATGAAGTAACAAATATTCACCTTTTTCTCTAGCAAAAGTCAATGCTATCATGGTAGAGGTTGAATTATTCAGTCAAGGTACTGAGATGAAAATATTGAAAATCGAAGAGGGCCTTTTACAAAATTTCAGATTTAATAGATATTTTGCAGGTCTTGAGAAATATCTCAGAAACACTAGGCACAACTTTATAAACTAAACACGAGTTGTTTAATGCTCAGTTTAAACACATTCTGGAGGCTGGAAGCTGGTAATCGAAACTAAGAAATAATAATAGTAGAACGTTATCAAATACAATCATTATACAGGAATTTATTAAATATAGATATTAATGTGGGTGCCCGATTGTCGGCTGTTGTAATTTATGTCGATAATTACTTGATAAAGTGAATTTACTCCATAAAAAATATCGGTGATTATAACAAATTGGTTATTTTAGTAACACTATAAAAATTAATACTGACTGTGTTAGTGATACATGGTGGAATTTATGGATATGAACTAAATCGAGACGTCAAAGCAAAATCAATGACCGAGTCAAAATCATAGAAAGAGAATCAGAAAGAGAACAATTACAAACAAAAATGACTAAGTCTGACAACAGTAAGAATATCAGGATCTTTTCCAAAGTTCTTACAGGGTATAGGTGAATTAATGGGTGAATTAAATGTAATGTCCTGCCTTAATACGCCTGAATGGGTTTATGGAAACGTACAACGCCATTCCTTAGAGAAATCAGCATACGTCTACTCTTTTTCGATTTCCAAATGTCAAAGATACTTAACGTGAACAGCCTGTAGCGCATATTTTCAATCCCTCGTAGATTAGTGACGCAGCGAGCTCGGCAGTTTGAAACACAGTTTAGCCTCTCTGTATTTTCTGATATAAACTCACTGATAAAAGACAGATTGGTGGAATTAGTAGAAGAGTTCATTTCTAATAAAAAAAACGTGATTAAAAGTTTAATTTATGACAACGTAGACAAATATTATCAAACGTATACCTGAAGATTTTAGAACAAAAAAAACTGTAGTAATCAGCAGTTTGTCAATCATTGTTTCTGGTTCAAGTCATTAAAATAAAAATCAATCAATAATAATAATGTAATTACAAAGGAGATGTAAATACTTGATTATACAGTTGATATAAAGGTCGAGAGTTTTATAGGATACCATTCAGGGGTCTAACTATTTAACTTGGATAAAATCCAGATTTTAAGAAATACTGTTATCTGATTGGATAACTCAATTTAAAATCAGATGACTGGAACACTAAAATATTTATTGGAGTTTTCAAGAATAAGGCCCCAGATTACATCATCGATTTTATTTTTCTGATCTTAAGATTGGTTTAGTAGTTTATGTCACGTGAACTAGCACGACCACTGGAAACTACAAGATATTAGTATATTGGGGATTGTTAGGTTAACACAACTTGCTTACAAGATATTAGTATATTGGGGATTGTTTGTGTTAGGTTAACACAACTTGCTTACAAGATATTAGTATATTGGTGATTGTTAGGTTAACACAACTTGTTTACAAGATATTATTATATTGGGGATTGTTAGGTTGACACAACTTGCTTACAAGATACTATTATATTGGGGATTGTTAGGTTGACACAACTTGCTTACAAGATATTATTATATTGGTGATTGTTAGGTTGACACAACTTGCTTACAAGATATTAGTATATTGGGGATTGTTAGGTTGACACAACTTGCTTACAAGATATTATTATATTGGGGATTGTTAGGTTAACACAACTTGCTTACAAGATATTAGTATATTGGGGATTGTTAGGTTAACACAACTTGCTTACAAGATATTATTATATTGGGGATTGTTAGGTTGACACAACTTGCTTACAAGATATTATTATATTGGGGATTGTTAGGTTAACACAACTTGTTTACAAGATATTATTATATTGGGGATTGTTAGGTTAACACAACTTGTTTACAAGATATTATTATATTGGGGATT